AGACTGTGTGGTGACTTTGTGATCCACCCTGAGTTTGCTTTGTCTTTCTTGACTGGTCTTGTGACCCCTTGATCTCCCCCACTTTGCCTATGGGGGTGTGTCAAACATATATTTACTATAGTCTGTTTAGGCTGTAGTGGGGTAGTCCTTAGAGGGTACAACACTTATGTGTTTCCTACTTGTACCCTTCTCATTTCCTAATTCCATCATTCTTTCGTCTATTCTTTCACACTTCATTTGTGTCTGCTTGTCTATGGTTTCTAGCCGCGATCCTAGCTTGTAGATCTGGTGTGGCAGCTCGCTGGATCTATGTGCCTCAACCCTCATAATGGCTTGGGGATGCCTGGGGGTTCTGTCGAGGTGAATTTTGGGATGCTGACGAAAATACCAGCGCGGTTACCATACGCAACCAAAAAACGTGAAATCGCAAATGTTTATCGCATCTGAATGGGGGCACATTTCGGCAGAGGTTGGACGAAAATTTCATGTTTCCGCATATAGGGATGGCTGACGTCATCACATGCCGCCCCACGGGTCCTGGCACAAAGGGATTTCGGGGCAAATCCGAAAACCCTCCGAATCCCTCGGGTCACCCCGAAAATCCCTCCTGACCAGGCGAAAAATCCCTCCGAATCCCTCCGTCTCAATGTCGTATTCTTACGCGCATATATATGTTAGCCGTACTGTTGCAATTTCGGGGACATTTATCGAGCACTGCTCGACGGGCATTGGCCAATCGCCGTCGAGCACCATGCACCCCCGACAAGATGGGTGACAGCGCTTGGCGTCGCCATCTACGTCGCCTCACAGGCCGCGCTGTCGGTCGACGTGAGTGGTAACGGGTTTCGCAACCGGCCGACGGTCACAATCGACGGCACCGTCAACTGCGGTTGACCGATCACTTCGACGGTCGAGCGAGAAGTCGTTGTCGGACAAGCGACGGGTTACGTAAGTCACCATCAAAGGGGTCACGTCAACAGATGACCGCCACGTCAAAGACCAGGGCCTTGAGGACACCTGTAAGGGAAGGGTTATCAGCCCAACAACGGTTTAAATGAAATCCTTAACTGGGAGCAGCAGTAACATCGTTTTTGTCAGTTTGGCCAGAGCTACGGCAATAAGAGCTTTCGGGTAGGCACTGATGGAGAACGATCCGTCAAGGACAACGCCTTTCCGGCAGGCAGCGGTAGGACCGCTACCTGTCGACGTTGAAACCATCTCGATACAACCCTCTAGGACGTCACAAGCCATACCAGGCTCGACACCGCCACCCTCGACGTCACGAGCCATACCGGGCTCGACAGCTCCACAATCGAAGTCACGAGCCATACCGGTAGTGGTTCAGCTGGTTGCGACGGATCAACGCTTGACGGACCGTGCTGTCAATGTCGAAGTGGGGGGGGCACCGACCGAAGTCCCTTCGACGGCGCAATCGACACCTGTAGTAGTAGAACCGATTTCGACAACAGCCCCTCCCTCAACACCGGAAGCGACAAACCAGCCGTCATCATCTTCGGCACCACACCGTTCGACAACGCCAACGGAACCAGGAGCCGCTGTCCCAAGCTCGACTGGCAGGCGACGTAGGAGAAGGGGTACAGGTGTTCCAGCTAAGGTTAGGCCACCACCCCCAGCCGGTACATCCGCTTCGCGAGCCACTCCCGCCGCGCCTATGCGCTCATCAAAAAGACCCAGCAAAGTGGACTTAGCCAGCCACGTCCCTGCAGAGACGAATGATGACGACGATGAGCAGGGAGAACAGCCCGAGGCGGACGATGTCGAAGAGGTGGACCCTTTGCGCCCTGCCGCGGCAAATATATTAGAAGAGCAGCCCACATTCTCGCTGACGAATAGGGCGAAGAAAATCCGTACTTGGCGATGGGAACACTCAAAAGTGCGATTCACCGTTGTCGGCTTCCGCTGCTGGCAATCGACCAGGATTCAACTCGGCCAAACTACGTCTCGAGTTTCATGCATTTCAAGGCTTGGGTCTGTGCAACCCTGGCGCCCGGAAAAAACAAGGGAGTGCTGGTCGAGGAGTAGGTGATCAACGAGGATGAGGTCGGGAGAGAGATCGGCAAGGATTTAGGGAAGGGGTGGAGGGCGGCGCTCCTTAACGAGGAGCACCTGCATGGGCCTTGGACGTCGAAATGGCGGTTGCGGGCTTACGTCGAGTACATGTCGACGGAAACGGACGAACAGGCAGCTTCCTTGGATACCGGGCGGACCAGAGTAGCGGGACGGAAGCCGAAAAAATGCATCCCACCGATGATGCTGGCGCGCCTAACTGCGATAGGGTGCCTGTGCAAAGTACAGGCCATACTCTTTGACGAACCACTCACAAAACCGATGGACGACATCACCGAGGCTAGGCAGCTACTAGCGGTCAAGCTGCAACAGCTGCACGAACAGCACGGGGGAATCGTCGATCCTCGTTCTCATGGTCGCCTATCGCAATTCGAAGACCGTCAAAGACAACAAGCTCGGCCACTTGTACCTGACTCGACACATGGACTTCCAGCAGTGCGGCTTTGGAGCAGTTTTCCTCTGGCTACACTTCCTTTTCGACCTCGTGCCGCTCTACTACAACAACACGAATATCGTGCCCCCCTTGGATTTTTCAAACCCGGAGGCCTGGTCGAAGAAACACCTGTTCTTCGCCCTCTTCGACAAAGAGAAGACAGAGATGCCGTACCCGACGCACAACAAATGGGTGACAAGGGCGATGAATAGCGCGGTGTGGATCCTGTCGAAAGTCACGCACATCTTTCGACGGTCTGCGGCACAAATCCTCGCGGACAAGAACTTAGACCTCGACACCATCGCACAGCTGGTTCAATGGGACATGAACGAGATGCGCAGGTCATACGTCACAGGCATGTCAGAATGTTGTATTTGTCTAGCCTGCAGTGGGGTACTCTATAGCGAGTACAGCCCAATCTAGGGTTTCCTATATGTACTCAACTGCTTGCTAGTGCAACCCCTCTTTCTTGTTCTAAACTTCTGCTTGCTATTCTGACATGGTATCAGAGCAGGTCGATCCCCTTGGGTCGATCCTGTGGGTGGGCCCACCACCTAAAGCTTCCGCTGCTCTACTTTCTGTCGTGCGCCTCGGGCGCGCGACGACTTCTTCCTGCCGCGCGCGGAGCGCGCGGCGAATTTTTCTGGCGTTTTGTCATCCCGCCGTGCGTTCGGGGCGCGCGGCGGTTTTCTGCCCGCCGACCTCCCCGTGGCGCGCGGCGGTTTTCTGCATGGCGCGCCCCCCCCCCGTCGACCGTCGCGTCGCCCCCGGGGACCAGCGCGCGCCCCCCGTCGACCCTCGCGTTGCCTCAGGGGACCCGCGCGCACCCCCCCACCGTCGGATCGCGCGCTGCCCCGCTGGACCCGCGCGACGCCCTGCGGGATCCGCGCGCTGCCCCCCCGTCGACCCTCGCGTCGCCCCCGGGGACCCGCGCGCTGGACCCGCGCGCCGCCCCTGGAACCGCGCACGACCCCCGCTGGACCGTCGCGGCGCCTTGGGGAGCCGCGCGCGGCCCCGCCGCTGTCCCATGGTGGCGCCCTGGGGGCCGCGCGCCGTCCCCCCGAGCCGTCCCCCGCGCTCGTGCCCCGTGCCACCCGTTTTAGGGTTTGGAGGTGGCGAGTGCGGGGGTGGCGGTTCTGGGGGTGACGGGTGTGTGAACCGTCCCCTACTCCTCCTCCTCCTCCGTCTCCCACTGCTGCAGCTGCCGCTGAGGGGGGTGGGTGTGTGGGAGCCGAGGGTTTAGGGTTTAAGGGGGGTGCCGTGGGAGTGGAGCTAGGGTTTCAGCAGGGGGTGTGTGAGAGGGGTGTGGGACGGTCGGGGGAGGTTGAGCGGAGGCTGCTGTCTTGTCGTCCGCAGCGCCTGTAGTCCGGGGCGCACTGTCCTGGTAGCCCAGAGAGTCTGCTGCGCCTGTCGCCCGTGGGTCCGTTGCTCCTGTAGCTCCTCGTAGCCCGTGAGCCAGTTACTCCAGTAGTCCGGGGCGCACTGTCCCGGTAGCCACTGTGCCAGCAGCTCCTGTTGCCCGTGTGTCTGCAGCTTCAGCCGCCGTCTCTCATCTTCTCTCCTCTCACAGTCCCTCCTCCTCCTCACCTGCCCGCTGTGATTACCTCTAGCTTTGCTTATTATTGTGAACTCCTGCTATACCTGCTCATTGTGCTGATTACACCCCACTTTGGCTATGGGGGTGTGTCAGAATGTTGTATTTGTCTAGCCTGCAGTGGGGTACTCTATAGCGAGTACAGCCCAATCTAGGGTTTCCTATATGTACTCAACTGCTTGCTAGTGCAACCCCTCTTTCTTGTTCTAAACTTCTGCTTGCTATTCTGACAAGGCATCCCGCGCCCGGCCATCCAGGTGCAAGCGGGTTTCTCGCAGGAACCGGGCGACTATTACATCGGAATATCGAAGAACAAATTGCCCCTGAAGGTCCTGAAGGCTATCGAGGAGCACATAGTTCCTAAGGCGGAGCTGTGGCTCATCGAGGTATGTATCTGTCGAGCACTTGGCGTCTTCGTCGAACGCAAGTTTTGCTCGCCCATCCATCTCTCGATGTCACCCTGTTCGTTTATGTTCAAGCACAGGAGTGGAACAACGAGCAGAACAAGGAACATATGTACTACGCAGCGAAGAGTTTCTTGGAGGCCCTGCTAGCCGCCCGAATGCCCATCGCAGAGGATCTTGCGATGTACTACGTCCATTGTGAGGACCACCCCTTCGACGCGGTCAGCGTTTGTGACTGCGAGCGTCACCCTTACGCCCAGATGTCGGGTTTGTGCAAGGACGAAGATTTCCAAAAATGGGCGCTCGACGTGTACACGCTCGACAAGTACGGCATCGAGATGCGGACTAAACCCACGATGTCGAGAGCAACGGTAAGATGGTCCTTTCAAAACTATAAGCGACGACTTTGCATCAACCCATTGACTGCACGTGTTCTTGCGTGCAGGACGTATCCTCTTACCTCAACACCAAGCACCTCATCATGCAACTTCGGGCCGAGATAAACCTCCACAAGGAGGAGGGAGGGAAAAAAGAAATCCAGATCAACCACCTCGAGAAGCAGGTCGAGTCATTGGAGCGGGAGAAGAGCTCGATGAAGGCAGAGTTGGAGGCGAAGACAGAGGCGTTCGCGCAACTACAGAAAGCGTTCGACGCACTGAAGAATACCACGGCGACAAGCGCAGCTGCAAATGTGGGGGAGAGCGAGAGCGTACCGCAGACGACGACCGAGGAAGCCACCCCGGCTCCACAGCAAGCCCAAGAAGCAACGCCCTCTTGACAGAGCGTGGGCAGCCAGCTCGACCAGGCATTCTTTGACGCGGTGGTGTGGTCGTGGTGCAATTGCGAGACCGTGCGGAAGGCGTGGTCGTACTGGGATGGACCAAGCCCACTGAACAACGGGCGTAGTCTTCGACAGGCTTACAAGAGGGGCTTCGCCGTCAAGTTCCGCAAGTTCACACCAACTCCACCCCCCGTAACCCTAGAAAAAGAGGCCCAGCCAAAAGAAAATCTATCAGCCGCAAAAGCTATCGAGACGAAATTGCAGAAAATGGAGGCTGTCATGAAGGCCGTCGCGCATTTCCGGATCGATGACAGTAGCGCGGCTACGTCGACGGTCATAAAAAATATGGACTCAATTGTGAAGGGCCACTCGATCAACATGCTTTCGGAGTGCATCGTTCTCTGTCAGAATAGTGAAGGAAGGAATGACTGAACTAGCAATCAGGTGGGTACAAGTGGGAAACCTAAAAGTGTTGTACCCTATATGAACTACCCCACTACAGCCTAGACAAACTGTAGCATATATGTTTGACACACCCCCATAGGCAAAGTGGGGGAACACAAGAGGTCACAAGACCGGTCAAGAAAGGCAAAGCAAGCTCAGGGTGGTGGATCACGATGTCACCACGCATTCTGAGCACAAGAAAATGGCCACAAGGCCAGTTCACATGCAGAGTTATATAAAGGAGAACAAGCAATACAGTGAACACAACCTAGCAAGTGTAAGCATGCAGGTATATGTATAGAGATCACAGTACAAGCAGAGTCAAGAAGTAAGCAAGTGAGGCACAGTAGGTACAAGGCCTAGAACAGTACAGATTCGCTGATTATCAAAACGCTGAAGTGCCTTGGTGAAAACATCAGCAGTGTTGGCCCGAGTGGCCACGTAAGCAAGACGAAGCTGACCACGCTGCTGCAACTCTCGAGCAAGGAAGTAGCGCAGAGCGATGTGCTTCGTTTTGTGCTCCAGTCTGTGCTCCTGACACAAGGAAATCATGGCCTTGTTGTCGACGTACAGCACTGGAGGAGAACGAGGCGGCTCTCCCAGATCAGTCAGCAGGTAGGTGAGCCAGCGTAATTCATCCTTCCTTTCCCCCTCCTTTCCCCCTCCTTCCCCCTCCTTCCCCCTTCTTCCCCCCTCCTTCCCTCCTCCTTCCCCCCTCCTTCCCCCCTCCTTCCCCCCTCCTTCCCCCCTCCTTCCCCCCTCCTTCCCCCCTCCTTCCCCCCTCCTTCCCCCCTCCTTCCCCCCTCCTTCCCTATCCTTCCCCCCTCTGTCCGTCCCCCCTCCTTTGCCCCCTCCTTCCACCCTCCTTCCCCCTCCTTCCCCCCCACCTTACCCCTCCTTCCCCCATCCTTCCCCCCTCATTTCTCCCGCCCTTCCCCCCCTCATTCCCCCACTCTTTCCCCCTCTCCTTCCCCACCTCCTTTCCCCATTCCTTCGTACCCTCTCTGTCCTCTGCCCCTCCCCAGCATAAGTCTCCTCAACTTCACATCTTATATAATAAAGATGTGTTACGTCAATGCCACACTGCAAGCCCTCGCCTCCCTCCTTCCCTTCCTCTCCCACCTCCTCTGCCCGTCCCGCCCCTCTCGCCCGCTCCTCCTCCCTCCGCCTCTCCCTCACCAATGAGCTTCAGCGGCTGACGTGGCAGCTCCTGGGCCTGCCAAATGGCAACAGCAATGGCGCTAGAGGGGGAAATAAGGGTGGCAGGGGGAGCTGGACAGTGGATGACGTGGGGCGAAGCGTGCCCATCTTTCTGGGACAGGAACAGAAGGTGAGGGCAGCAGGTGAGAGCAGGGCTGGAAAAGCAGGTAGGGTTGGAGAGGGAAGGGGTGGAGGAGCAAACGAGCAGTCAAGGTTGTTTATGAACATGAGGTGCCAAGGCGATAACAGGAGAAGGGGGGTGATGGGGGGATGAGACGAGCCAAGGATACAGGGTGTGGGGGAGCGCGTGTGGGATGGTGGATTGCATGTTCACAAGCTTGAAGCCTTGCAATGCATGCTGGCAGTGTCTTTCTTGTGTGCCATGGGAATATTCCAATCCAGCTGCTTCAGCCTGGTCAGATCGATCAGATTCTTGGGCACAGAGAACAGGCTGCCGCACTGGTCCACCACGAGCACTTCCAGGTTCAGCAGCGCTGCCACGGAGTCTGGGAGTTTCTGGATGCGCGGGCAAGACAGCACATACAGCTCCCGCAGGCGCCTCAGCTCCCCCACTGCCTCTGGCAGGTCGACCAGCTCGCACTCGTGCAGCTCCAGGTGTGCGAGCGATGCCAGCTGCGTGAAGGAGGAAGGAAGGATTTCCCGCGCTCTGTACGTCTTCACGAATACGGTTTGGAGGTTGGTGAGACCTCTGATGTCGTTAGGGAGAACGAGGAAGGGTGAACCCGCGAGGCAGAGGGTGGAGAGCACTGTGAGGGCGCTGAGCGGGTCCGGTAGGTCGTCCAGATACTCGCAGTCGATGACTGCCAGCGTGTGGAGGGCCTTGAGCTGGCTGCACGAGGCAGGGAAGTAGATGTTGAGCTTGTGCAGCATGAGCGTCGTCAGCGCGTTCATCTCTCCCAAGTAGTCTTGCAGGCCGACGAATGGGCACCTGGCGAGCTTCAAGGAGCGCAGCCCGGTGAGCAACGTGACCGCCTTGGGCTGCTCCAGCAAGGTGTCGCACGCGCTGATGCTCAGGTCGTGCAGGCACGGCAGGCGCTCGATGATGTTGTGGGGGAGATTCTGAAGCTCATCGCACTGGTAGAGCGACACGCGCTCCAGCAGGCTGCAGGGGGTCTCCGAAGGGAACATCTCATCGAACGGTGGAGAGGGGCTAGACCCTAGATCCAACAACTTGAGCGATGATAGGCGCACGAAGGAGAACCGACGAGAGCGAAAGGTGCCAGGAAAGAGAGAGACTTCATGCAGCACGGAGAGGGACGTGAGGCGCGGCAGGTGCGCGAGGGGCTCGAGGTCGTCGTAGTCCCACACCGCCGTGTCGATGGCGATCGCCTCGAGGGCGATCAAGTTCTTCACTTCTGGGGTCGTTACCGCTGACAGATCGGCGAGCGCGAGGGCCCGAACTCGCAGTGCAAGCAGCCCATCGACAGGTGTTCCATCTGGGTGCACCCTCGGAAGAACACGTCGATGCCGGCTGGCGTGAGCAAGGTGTCCCCCGGCGGGTCATACTCGGGATTCTGCACGATCGCACTCCCGAGATGGAACGCCGTCAGCTTGGGGCAGCACGCCGCGAGGCGCGCGAGGAATGCGTCGTCGATGGGCTGCGCGCTGCCGTCGCTGAGATGCATGTGCATGAGGCGCGGGAAGCACGCGACCGCCGCACCGAGATCCTCACGAAAAACGGTGCAATTCTCCTTGACAAGGAGCGTGGACATGTGGCGCTGCGCTAGGCGACGCCAGCGGCGGCAGATCGACGCAAGGAGAAGATTGTATGCGGCGTCGGCGAACGCTGGAGGAAGAGGAGGATTCGGAAACATGGTATCGCTCTGCTGGTAACGTGGCTCGTCTGCATTTTCGCGAATGAACCTTGGGGTAGGTCGCACGGTGGCCCACAGAGCCTCACCGGGGTGGCGAGAGGAGAGGCGATTGGAGGGCCAGAAGATGGCAATGAGAAGCTCCATCAGAAAGTTGTGTCGCCTGGATCGGGGTGTTTCAGAAGAGTTCGGATAGTTGGGGTTAGGTTCTGGCAATTTTTCGTGCAGACTGTATAGGTGTGATGGGTTAGGCCGATTGCCACCCCCGATCGACCACTTCCTAGATGGGTTTCGAATGGTTGATTCCTGTTCGAACTGTGTGCCGCTGTAGTTGCTCGATCTACGGGGTGCACAATGCATAGCCATGTTTCATCTAGTTCGTAGATGACCATTGACAAGGAAATCTGGCCATTTGCATGACGTGAAAATCGAAGCGCGGTGCCCTGTTACAATTGGTGGCGAAATGAACGAATCTTACTGTAGGAGGTAACCAGGTCCCACTATAATGAATTATAATTTCAATATTTCGAAAATAATAAATGCTACGATACGATATTCTCATTTGGGAATCCTTCATTTCATTGGCACAATATTCCGAACAATTAGCAGCTGAAACTTCTTATGCGTGAAACTGTTCGAAATTATTCAACAGTCATATGAATATACAAAGTGATAAACTAAAACCACAGAATTCTGGAAGCTCTGTAAGAATGGTAACAAAACTACACTATTTACAGACAACCAATGAACACTACACTAATCAGGTGATTAACTACAGGGCCTGCACGGTGAAACAGAACGTTAAAGAAAGGAAACACAACGGTGAAACTGCAATAACGTAATTTATCATGTGCAACCGTCACCACGACATCTAAGGAGACGGCCTGCAAGCAAAAACAGACGCTGAGCACTTCAAGAAAACGAAAACGATACAAACAGTAAGTACATGCATTGATACCTCGGCATGCGACGACCACACTTGCCGGTGCAAAGCGTCGGGCGCCACCATGCCTGATGGAATAGAACACAGGCGAACTGCATAGCGTCAACATAGCAACAAAGGCAAAAACACGTTAGTGTTTGCAGGTCAAAATGACATCACCACTCGACGACTAAAAGGAGTAATGCTCGGCGACTGGAGGAACAGAGCTGAGGGCGAACAGAAAATAACTGAAAGAAACAAAAAGGCGAGAAGGAACGAGATAAAACGCAGTCACGAATGTGCTTATACAAACACCTCGTCAATGAGAAATGACTGAGCTTAGAGGCTACTGCTTGTAAAAACGATCCCAGTGAGGTGACGACGAACAAGCCAGTGCCTGGATGCATGAACCTCTCTCCTCAGTAGTGAGAGCCTGGCGACGAAACCTGCCACAGGCATACCAGCGATACAGCCACCAACGTGGCGTCGAAGATGCTCATTACGTGGTTCATGAGCGGTATATGTAAAGGGGGTTCTGTTTGTGTTTGCAACTGACTGGATAGTTACTTTGCAGCGCTGTCACGATTGTGAGCAACCATTGGTTGAGTTGCATTTTGCGTAAGCGAGGAGTAGAGCAATGTCCAGCGTTGTGACAGTTCTGAGCACCGATTGGCCAGAGCGGGATTTTGGGAGTAGTAAGGTGTACAAAAAAAGTCCAGCTCGACAAATCAAACTGGCTCGCTGACTGCTGCCAGCTCGACAAATATGGTTATCGTCACAACATTGCAGTTTCCAGACACCATTATACACATAATGTTCAACAAAATACTGAACCGTTAGTGGTACGTTTTCATTCAGTGTCCGATTTCTTGAACCAGGAAATAAACAGCACAAATAGTAAAAATAATAGGCGATACCTGACCACAGGCAACAAAAGTTCAACGCATTATGTTCTTTATAACGGCTTTGTGTTATTCAAAAGAAATATACCCACTCCACAACAGAATGCAGACATACTCACTAAGTATATAAATATGCATCTCTGTTCAATACATATATGTATAAATTTATGTATATATAATTTTACCTCTGTATAACATGTAATTGTTGAGAAACTTAGAACGAGAATGAATGACTAAGGAATGAAAGTGATACAAATATGAGACCCTAGAATTGTGTACCCCTTAGTATCTAACCCGCTACAGCTTACACAGGCTAGATCATATAAGTTTGACACACCCCCATAGGCAAAGTGGGGGAGAACAAGGGGTCACAAGACCAGTCAAGTAAAGCAAGGCAAAACAAGCTCAGGGTGGATCACAACGTCACCACACATTCTGAGCACAAGTTCAAGGCCACAAGGCCAGTTCACATGCATGAGTACACACATATATATAACGCTAAACAAGCAAGAGCAGGTATATATATATGTAACAGTACAAGCAAGGTCAAGAAGTGAGCAAGTGAGGAAAGGTAGGTACAAGACCTAACAGAGTACAGAAGCGCTGATGGTCACAAGGCGCAAGTGCCTTGGTGAAGATATCAGCACTGTTGGCCTCAGAGGCCACGTAAGCAAGGCGCAGCTGACCTCGCTGCTGCAGCTCACGAGCAAGGAAGTAGCGAAGAGCAATGTGCTTCGTTCTGTGCTCCAGTCTGTGCTCACGACACAAGGCCAGCATAGCCTTGTTGTCTACGTACAGAACTGGAGGAGAACGAGGCGGCTCTCCTAGGTCAGTCAGCAGGTAGGTGAGCCAGCGTAGCTCCTGTGCAGCCATGGCCCCTGCGTAGATCTCAGCCTCACAACTGGAGCCGAGAACAGAAGACGAGCGGGTAGACCGCCACGAAACAGAGCCGGAACCAAGGCTGAAGGTGTAACCCTGTGACGACCGCTGCGTAGCCTGGTCGTCAGCCCAAGAAGCGTCTGCGTGACCAGTGAGGACCACTGGACTCCGCCCTCCAAGCACAAGCCCCATGCCCGACGTACTGCACAAGTAGCGCAACACCCTCTTCGCTGCAGCCATGTGCTCTGGTCTGTGTCTCCCAGGAGCAACATAGCGTGCCAGAATGCTAAGAGGCTATGCAAGGTCAGGTGGAGTGCAGGTCATCAGGTACATGAGGCAGCCAACAAGCTCTGGGTACGGGCCACTCGACTCTACGGACTCATCCGAAGGCAGAGCTGAGAGCGAGTGGCGAGTAGACAGAGGAGTGGCCTGAGGCGAGGAGTACGTGAAGCCGAAGCGCTGAAGGACCTGCTGCACCATGTGTGACTGAGTCAGGGTAATGGTGCGCTGTGCTCTGTCCCGGGTGATCTGCAAGCCAAGGTAGCTGCGCAGTTCACCCAGGTCTGTGCACGTGTGTCTCTTCTGCAGCTCGGACTTCACGTGGGCGAGTCCAGCAGTGTCAGCTGTGGCAAAGACCAAGTCGTCGACGTACACGAGGATGTAGAACGGCGGCAAAGAAGTGTCGGTGCGCAGAAACAGCGACGGGTCGGCAGTAGAAGGAGCAAACCCAAGAGCCGCAAGTGTAGTCCTCAGTGTGTCGTGCCACTCACGAGGTGCCTGGCGGAGACCGTAGACTGGCCGCCGGAGGCTCCTCTGGGTACCAGTAGGAAAAGACCCAGTGAAGCCAGGTGGGCGGCGCAGCCAGATCTCCTCGTGCAGGCTGCCCTGCAAGAAAGCAGTGCTGAAGTCAAGAGAGTGAAGCTCGTAGTCACGGTGAGCGGCTATGTGCAGCAGTACCCGAAGAGTGGTCATCTTCGGGGTGGGAGAGAAGGTCTGAAAGTAGTCAACTCCCTGCCGCTGACTGAAGCCACGAGCCACGTAGCGCGCCTTGAAGACAGGCGGAGAACCCGGCGGCCGCTTCACCCTGAAAATCCACATGCCACTGACGATGTTCGCCCCAGGAGGGGGAACCTCGTCGACGTAGGTGCCTGTGGACTTCCAGGAAGCCATCTCTGCATCCATGGCTGCCTGCCACTGAGAGGAGTAGGGACCCTCTATCGCCTCCGCGTAAGAGCGCGGAGTCGGGATGTCTGGTGCATCCGGGTCTCCCTCAGGGGCAAGCAGCATGGACACGAAATGAGGTGAAGCAGCAGCAAAGCACTGGAACTCCTCCTGCCTGTCCTCAAGGACGTCCGTGCCAAGGGCACACTCACCCCCGACGGACGGAGGACAGACAGACTCAGACTCAGCGACAAGACTAGCAGCGTAGTCTAGGCGACAGCGAGCAGCGAAGTCGACAAGCTCAGAAACTAAGGCAGACGCAGCAGCGGACTCAAAGGAAGGGTCAGTGACGACAGTAGCAAGGAGACGCGTGACAGCAGGACTGGCAGCACGAAGGGAGTCCGACTCCGGGTCAGCAAGAACAGGAAGAGAGGACTCAGGAGGAGAAGGCAAAGGGGCACGCAGCGGAGCAGTGGAGGGACGCAGAGACATCCGGTGCGTGCCGGGGACAGGGGGAGGACGCTGACGCGAACCACGACTACTAGTGCGAGCAGCACGGATAGGCGACGCAGGACGAGACGCAGGCTGACGACGCTCAGCAAGACCTCCAGTAGGACCAGTGTAGGGAGAAGGAGCAGGCAGAGGAGAGGTAGGCTGTAACTGGGACTCGGACTGGACAGGCGGTGGACACTCTAAGGGAGGAGCCGGACTAGCAGAGGGCGGAAGACCAAGAACCTGCTCAAGGAGCGGAACGAAGTACAACCGCGGTCGCTCAGCACCACCAGCACCAGAAGGGACAGCACCAGCACCCCGAACGACAGCACCAGCGCCAGCAGCACCCCCAGCTCCAACTGCGCCAACTCCAGTACCCTCAGAGGCACCAGCACCAGAGGCACCCTCAGTACCAACACCCCCAGCAGCTCCAGCTCCAGCCGGACCACCAGAAGACGCAGCGGGTCCAGCTCCAGCACCCTCAGTAGCACCGACGCCCGCAGCACCACCAGCTCCAGTACGAGAAGCACCCGCAGGCCCAGCAG